TCCAGCTGGTATAAAGCGAGCGGTAGCTGCTGCGATCACCTTGCGGAATTGACGTTCGCCAACGCATACGTCCGTAGGAATGGGTAGAGCGTTGAAGGTGCTCTCAGYAAATTCTGTGAAGCCGACCCAGTTAGCTTTGTTGAAGTTAACGAAGGTGCAGTTGTCGACAGAAACGAAATCGGCAGGTTTCACGATCGAGATAATTATGGGTAGATGGTCTGATGCGAGAGTAAGCATAGGTCGCCAGGTTATGCAATTTATCAGACCACCACTAGCGATTGTAATATCGGGCGAGCTACTACAAGTGCCCACAACTCTGGTGGGGGCTTCGTCATTCATTGTGCAGAATTTCGAATCGTCAATCTGTTCCGCCAGCTCCACGTTATTGCAGCTAGGGTGTTTGTTGGCGACGCCACTGTAGTGTGTTGCGGGGGCAAACTCCTGCAGCATGGGGCAACGTACGACTCAATCCACTCACGTGTGGTGTGCAGGCTGGAACACGCCGGGAAGTGACACCAGCCAGCACAAGAGTTGCACTTGACTGATGTAACGTTCCGACGTATGGCGGTCTGACACACGGAACACACGGATTGGAGCGGGATGAAGGTGGGGGGGGACAAGTCAGATTGGGAGCTATGTTGCCTAGTTGAGCTCCGGGGGACCGTGGAGGTCCTCTGCTGGCCACTCGAGGTGGGTGGCGGCGCAGCGCGCGAACTATGTGCTGGTTACACAGCCGTAGAGGCTAGCGTCGCAGTATTGCGTAGGCAACAAGGGGCCACGTAACGTGTGGTCCACTCCCTATGGGTCTTAAGGCCTGAGCAGGTCTTAAGATGGCTCCATCCATTGYATGTGTTGCACCTGACCGAGGTGGAGTTTGGATGGAGCCTTTTCGCGCAAACGCAGCAGAAGAATTCCTCTGGGCCCGGGTTGGCAACCCTGCTGCAAGGCGTTGCTCCAGTGACGAGACACACAAATCAACACTCACCGATCCAAACGGGGTTAAATCGCCGAAAAAACAGCCCTTGGTCGGATGAAATCCGAGTCAATTCGGGTAACGTAGAACCGTCTGTCGTGGGAATTGTGGGCTCTACTCGTTACGTGTTATCAAGGCATAACTACCAGACCTCAAATTTGAACCAATATTTTGAGACAAAAGCTAGAGACTGTTTAGTGAATAGTAACTAGCCACAAAGTGAGATTTTACCATAAAATGTCTCAAATAGAGACCAGAGATTGGTTACAGAATCTCGCTATTAAGTACACCACTAACACGAATTATAGAACGTATGATGAAGTATTCCATCATTCTAACGGGCATCTCGACACGCTAAAGTCTATGGTTTATTAATTGTCAAATCAATTGCCATTGCCGTTGCCAAATCTGTATGAGATGGTATCATAACATTATTATTTGCGAAAAGAGCTCTTGAAATGTTTAAATATTTATATGGATGAAAACAATTTATGTCTAAAATAAAAAAAGGAGAAATATACTTTTTTCTTGTAAGAATTTTATTTTTTCGGACTATGATAATTATATCATAAGTTTTATACACCAACTAACATAATAAATTTGATATGAACAATGATATATTGATTTATGCTTGTATAAGTTTATTACATTTAAGACCTCGCTCATTCACCAATTCATTTTGTATAATTTTTCCGCAAATTAACAATATTAAGCTATATATTAATTTTTTGGAAAATTGTATTAATTATTTTGAAAATGTACTTTCTTTTTAAAATTTAACACAATTATTTTACTACCCGCTCTACTAAATGTAATATTACTGAAATGAAACTGCCTTCGGTATATGTGTAAATGGGATGTGTTGCCTAATCGAAATATTCATAGAAATGAAAACTGATCTGTCAAACAGCTGAAGTGACAGTTTATTGCTTTCAATATTTGGCATACCAATTAGTATTAAATTTATTATTTTATTTTGTATATAAAATGTATTTCACAATTATTATATAGTAGTCCAAAAATAGGGATTCTTATTTTTTCCAGAAATACATTTGTAAAAAAAAGGATCGTAATCCTTTTTTTATTTTAATCATAAAAGATTGAAACAGTTCAAGAGCTCAAAGCATGCGCTACAACAGGTCGAACCTACTTACCCTACGCCTATGCCATGGATAATATGATACGAGAGTCTGGCATTGGCTCCCATTTTTCTCTCAAACGCGTTCCCTGATTGTTTGACAGCGAAGGAGATCAGGGAATTTCGATCAGCTGATTTCACAAAAGGCGGGATGCCAGAAGTAAACCGCTATAATAGATAGATAGATAGATAAATAATTGAGGAATGCACTGCGACCTTAGGTCTATTTTGCCCTCTCCTAACACACAGGGACTCGCTTAGCCCCAGCATATTGATGAAGTCCAGCATTCTGCTGTATGCTAGTGAGGCGATGTGATCCCTATCCGGGTGCTCCGGGATTTCAGGGTCCCTGTCGCAAAACCGACAGTTGGCGCAAGATGATAGGCCCATGTTAGCTAAATGTCTTTTCAGCTTGCAGTGGCCGGTGTAAAATGCGATCAGGATCCTGAGTTTGTTTCTTTGGAGATTTATTAAAGATTTGAACCTCTTCTAGTTGTACACCCAACTAGCAGCTTGGCATGACGCATACCGTGCGCTCGCTGCCAATACCTTTCCCTGCACACTCTTTCTTCTTTGCGGAGCAGCTCCTTCACAGTATGGGGAGCCACCCCAGTGAACGGTTCGGGCCCAAACATATTGGTGGAGGCTGCGGAGAGGGCTAGCGTGTCAACCAGTTCGTTGCCGGCTATACCCCTGTGACCGGGCACCCAGATTAGGTGCACCTGGTTCTTTCCTGCACCAATAGCGATTTGATCTCCTAGGAGGAGATCGCTTTTAGTGCCGCTTGACTATCGCTAAGTATAACTATTCGCTCGTTGCGATAGTTCCGGTGGAGGTTTATCCCTTAGCATTTGCTCAAGAGTGGGGTCGTTCCACTCACTCTTGCTACCGATGGTAACCTTAAACCTATTCGTGAAGTGACCGCTATAATTATTATTATTTTTTTTTTTTTTTTTTATTTTATAAAAGCTTACATAATAATACAATTATTATACAAACTAAGAAAATACGCAGCACTAGCATCATGGGCTATCGGCCGACCGCTATAATTACCTGACGAAATTTGTGTGAAAAGAAATTTCATTGAACTGTGCGAACGTATTTAAGCAAAATAAATGATAATGTAAATTAAGTAATGATTTTGCATTTTAGCATATATATACGTATGCATTTTCAAAGTGTTTAGTTTATTGTTTTATATAATTTATTAAATACCCAATCTAATATTTTTCAGCAGTGGCATCATTGGCAAATGTTATAAAAAATGCGAGTTTTGTCAGCTCTCTCTCAAATCAAAGAGTCTCGTATCATACTATCCATGCCTTTGCGCAAATGAATACCAGGAATATAGGGATGATCAACTTATTCCAGAGTGAGAGCGCGTTAAAATAAGCGTTAACAATAACAACAATTTTTGGGAATTTTAAATTAAAACTTCCAACATTTATTACAAATAACAATTACTATATAGTGCCGAAGGTCCTGGCAGCCAGTGCTCCTTTTTTCGTGGAAAAGTAATTGTATTATTGTTTCACGTTTTTATAAATAAATAAATAAATAAATATAGTGGTTATTTATTATATGGAGAAATTGTTTAAATTTTTAGTATATTAATATATTAGAACAACTGACTTTGGACCTTTGAATATCCAATAAAAGGATTTAAGCTTAGTAGCTCTCAATAATTTAATGTTTTTAATCATTTTCCATTTAAAATAATACTATGATGCTTCAAATTACAAAACGTTTCATCAAATACCTTTAAATTTAACCCATTTTTTTAATTTTCATTGTTTTAAATTTTTATAAGTGGTCTTGAACGATGCCACAAATCTCTCCATTTACATATTTTTTTGGTAAGATTTCAATCTGGCCATCGCTCGTTTCCAATTGATAAACGTCAAAACCTACTGAACTCGCTTAGCTGTCAAAGTTAAGTTAAACATCTCCTTATCTCTGTGAATGCGTTATGATAACAAATGCGCACAGATTTGACAATTGCAATGGATTTGACAGTTAGTACGACATAAATGTTATCCTGTCGAGATGCCCCGTTATATTGCATTCCATAAACAATATGATGTCTCGACAAGCAATAGGCACTGAAATACAGTTATTATACAATAAATTTTTGCCTCTCGAGATGCCCCATAACGAGTATCCAGAAAAGTCAATCTGAAAATTAAAACCATTTTTAATATGCCAAGACCTCTAATAGCGGGATTCTGCAAGCAGACTCTAATCTCTATTTGAGACATTTTGTGGTAAAATCTCAATTTGTGACTAGTTACTATTCACTAAAAAGTCTCTAGCTTTAGCCTCAAAATATTGCCTCAAATTTGAGACCTGGTAGTTAGCAAGTCACAAAACCAAAAAGAACTCTTGTCTGCCATTTTGAATATACTGAGCAGAGATCATCATTAATATTATTCAATTGTCATTTTTTTATATTTTGTAAGCAACTCAAACACAACAAGGTTAAAAGTAAATAAATTTTCAAAAATTTCGAAAATATTATGAAACAAAATCAACATATAATTTATTTTGATTGATAATTATCTTTTTTGACTATGTTATAGAAAATTTAATTTTTGTTATCGACATATTTATTTTCATCCAAGTTTAAAAGCATCTCTGAATTATTAAATGTAATAAATTTTGTGACTGTCACTTACAGAATAGCAAAATCGTCTCAAGTCTCAAAAATTGTCTCTATCGAATTTAGAGACTTGATACTGTATCACCGTACAGAATCGCACGGTAAGTCTAACTTGATAACTCCTCAAATGGCTCTGATGTATCATTTGTTAAAACAACTGATAGATTAAAACAAATGAATAACAGATCTATTAGTGGATATATATTCTTTTTCTATTACATAGATATATTTTTATATTTTATACTTGAATTTCAGGCAGGATTCCGATTACTTTGGCGGTCGGGTAAAAAACACGAATTTCGGTATAAAAGGGGTATGTACTGATAAAGTAGCTTACATTTGTTAAATTATTCCCCATTAAAAATTTTTACCAATAACAATAAGGGGGATTCGTTTGCTCTTGCAGTATTGCAAAAAACTTATACCGAAATATGCAAGAGCACGAGAGCACCCATTGCAGAATTTAGTTATATAATATATGAACGGCTGATTCGGGCATTTTATTGTAAATGATTATTGATTACGATTCTCCCGCTATCGTTTTCTCCCTATCGTTTTTCAGATATTTGCATTTAAAGATGAAAATTTCGCAAATTTTATTTCGCAAATTCTCGATTTATAGTAACATTTTCTTTTATATATTGAATTTTTCATAAACTTACACTTCCCTACATTGTTTCTACATATTTATTTCAATTAATGAATGAATATTTGCTTTGGTAGGTCGTCTACGCAAAACGGACTTTTAAGCGAAAAAAACTTGACGCACCCCAATAGGGGATAATAAAATAATTTATTGCGATAGACAGCCGCAGAAATCCTTTTTTTGGGGTATACTCTATTTTCTTTATGTCTTTTATAGAGGGATTCTGTAACCAGTCTCTAGTCTCTATTTGAGCCATTTTGTGGTAAAATCTCAATTTGTGACTAGTTACTACTCACTAAAAAGTTTCTAGCTTTAGTCTCAAAATATTGCCTCAAATTTGAGACCTGGTACTTAGGAAGTCACAAAACCAAAAAGAACTCTTGTCTGCAATTTTTAATATACTGAATAGAGATCACCATAGATATTAATCGATTGTCGTTTTTTTATATTTTGTAAGCAACTCAAACACGAAAGGGTTAAAAATAAATAAATTTTACATAAATTTCGTTAATATTATGAAACAAAGTCAACATATATTTTTATTTTTTTATTGATAATTATGTATTTTGACTATGTTATAGAAAATAAAATATATGTTGTCGACATATTTATTTTCATTCAAGTATAAATCATCTCTGAATAATGAAATGTAGTAGAGTGACTATCACTTACAGAATAGCAAAATCGTCTCAAGTCTCAAAAATTGTCTCTGTCAAATTTAGAGACTTGATACTGTATCACAGTACAGAATCGCACGGTTAGTTTCAAAATATTGCCTCAAACTTGAGACCTGGTAGTTAGCAAGTCACAGAACCAAAAAGAACTCTTGTCTGCCATTTTGAATATACTGAATAGAGATNTCAAAATATTGCCTCAAACTTGAGACCTGGTAGTTAGCAAGTCACAGAACCAAAAAGAACTCTTGTCTGCCATTTTGAATATACTGAATAGAGATCACCATTAATATTAATCGATTGTCGTTTATATTTTGCATTATTATTAATTATGTTTTTTGACTATGTTCTAGAAAATTTAATATTTGTTATCAACATATTTATTTTCATTTAAGTATAAAAACATCTCTGAATTATTAAATGTAATCAATTTTGTGACTATCACTTACAGAATAGCAAAATCGTCTCAAGTCTCAAAAATTGTCTCCGTCAAATTTAGAGACTTGATATTTTATCACAGTACAGAATCGCACGGTTAGTTCATTTGCAAAAGATGTCGAAAAGGTAACACTGATTATTTGACAGACTACAACCCTATAGTAGTTGTTACATAAATATTATTGAGCAATAAATTAAATCTTGAACTAAAACTCTTTTTGCAATATTGAATATATAATAAATATGTACAAACGAATAAGAGAAGTGTAAGTAGATATAAACGTGCAAAATATAAGCGTAAAATTATTTTTAAATCGCAAAATTACATCTTTAACTAGTAGTAGTTTTTTTTTAAATGGAAATATCTCGAAAATTATAAGTTTGCAACGGCAGTAATTGGATATATTCTTAACCTGGAGCATCTCCACTATCCAACAAACCACTTTCAAACCTGATATTGTGGGATGGTACATTAAAGTTTTGCCAAAATAAGTTCATATTTCATTTATACGGGGCATCTCGACAGGATAGAATGGGTCGGCTTTAGTATACCGTCCCAGGATTTCGGTAATAAAATGGGTATGGTCGGATAGAGGAGATTCTCCAGATCACGAATATACACGGTTATTGCCGCAGAAAGCTTATAAATTTTTCAATTTTATATACACTAACACATCACTTATTCATTTGCAAACATTTATTTTATATAATATAGTGTAAAAATTGCTTTTAGTGTACATTTAAATTATTGTTGAAATATTATTGTTTTAAAATAACAAATGAATTACAAACTGTCAMATAATCAGTGTTACCATACTAAAATATTTTGCAAACTAAAACAAAAAAAAAAAATTATAAAGAAATATTATACCCTGAATATAGGAAACATAATCGTTGATAAGCAATAAAAAATGTGTAAAAAATTTAAGCGGTCTGAWGGCCGCCAATGTAAAAATGTGTTTTACGGGAGCAAAAAAATATTATACACCCAAACAGTAGTTCTACGCGAAAAAAATTTTGTACACCCCGGTGTTGGACCGACCAGAGTTTTTTTTTTTTTTGAAGCGCCCCGAAGGCCGCCCACGCAAAAAGGAGTTCTACGCGAAGAAGTAGCAATGTCATAAAGGGTATAACAACCACTCTAACATCAATGCGATCTAACGGATAGAAGTACTGCTACTTTTAAAGCAAAGTACCGTTGCTTTTTTTTGTTATTTTCATAATTACTTCGAATTTTGAAAATAAGCTGTGTGGACATAGTTAATCTAATTTCTATTAAAATTATTCAAATATTTTTGAAGAAAATGGTAAATAATTCATCAGGTATGATAAATTAAATATTGAAAATAATATTTAAATCATTTTTCTAATACTTTGTTACAATTATACATATGTATGTAGATTTGCAAGAAGATGCGATTGTTCGTGTTCGTAAAACGAACAAATTGAGCGTGTCGGAGGTGAAAGGTATGTGGAGCATTTCCAAAATATTCCAGACCTTCCAATCGAGGGAGAGTTGTGTTTCTCTTTGCGAAGAGGATGGTCTAATTGCTAGGGGAAGAACTTGCAGGGTGCATAGACTGCCGATGGTGCTCTCCGTGATGGGAAATAGCACCGTCGGTACGTTTAGGTGCCGAAAAGGATCGTGCCGAACGCGTTCGGCGATATCCCGATCTGTGGGTACCTGGTTGGAAAATGTAAAAATTCCTTTGCCACAAGATTTTTATCTAATGTTTTGCTAAGCATCGCACTGGTCGCACGAGGTGGTTAGAAAAAACAGTATTGTCAGGGAACCTATTTTATCTAGCGCTACCATTTGTGACTGGTATAACCACTGTCGCGAAGCGGTAGTTTTATACCAAGTGGAACATCAGGAGGCGGTAGGTAAAATTGGTGGCCCTGGCAAAAACGTGCAAATCGATGAAAGCGTTAGCGGAAAAATGTGGCCAACAAACACCAAGATCTTTTGTACAATTATTAGAGGCAATAAAATTTATATACAAGCCTTAATACACGTTTGCTTTATTAAATTTAAGTAATTTGTTTATATTTTATTTTTTCTATTCTCTTATTTGGGGTATAATAATTTAGTTCCACGCAAAAAAGAGTTCAAAGCGAAAAAAATCTAATACATCCCGATGTTGGACCGACCAGAGTTATTTCTTTTATAGGTTGTTGATTCTCGTATTTGGGGTATAATCTGTTCACTTTATTTCATTTAGTTATTTTACAAACGATGTCGATAAGGTAACACTGATTATTTGACACTTTGTAATTCATTTGTTATTTTTAAATAATCATATATCAACAATAATTTAAATGTACATTAAAAGCAATTTTTGCACTATATTATATAAAAGAAATGTGTGCAAATAAATAAGTGATGTGTTAGCGTATATAAAATTGAAAAATTTAAGTGAAAAATTAATTTTAAATACCGCAAATATGTAATTAAAATATTGCAAAATTTCAACTTTAATCGCGAATATCTCGAAAACTAAAAGCTACCTGCGGCTATATTCTTAATCTAGAGAATCTCCTCTATCCGACCATACCCATTTTATTCCCGAAATTCTGGGACGGTATACTAAAGTGTTCCCGATAGAATTTATGGAATACTATCTGCATTGCCGTGCCGATTTCCTGTGGAGACTCCACATTGCTCATAGCTTACTAGATATAGAATACTATCTAGTTTGCCATATGTCGTAAGCTATGAGCTGTCACTTCAACCGTTTGGAAGCGCAGTTTTCATTTCTATGAAAATTTCGAAGAGGCAGCATATCCCATTTGCACATATGCCGACGGCATCTTATTTCGGTAATATGAAATTTTGAAGAGCGAGTATTAAGACGGTTGCGTTATATTATAAAAATAAAATGCATTTTCAAAGTAACATTTTTCCAAAAAAATTAATATTGTTAATTTACGAAAAATTATGCAAATTGGGTTGGGAATGAGCGAAGTCTTAAATTTAGTAAACAGGCAAGCATAAATCCAAATATCATTGCTCATTTTAAATTTATTATTTATATTAAATTTATGGCACAATTATTAATCCAACATATGAATTCTTATTTTTCCCAGAAATACATTTGCAAACAAAAGAATCTTTATCCTTTTTTCAAGAGCACAAAACGTGCGCTACATCAGCTACCTATCCGTCGGCATTTCGCAAATGATAAAATAAAAATTTCAAGAGCACAAAGCATGCGGTTTTGCGCAAATGACTATATCATAATATCAAATGCCCACATACAGATTGGGCAATGGCAATAGCAGTACGTTTGACAGTAACAAGGCATCTCCACAGGATAAAATCTATGTCTTACTAAGTGTATTGCGTGCCTATTGCTTGTGGAGACTCCACATTGCTTATTTCTTACAATATATGGAATACTAATTAGTTTGCTATATATGGTAAGCAGGGTACAAGGGAGTTGGGAAAGTCCCATTCACTGTAGTAAAAGAGCCATTCACAGTCCTTAACCTACCCCCCCCCGCAGTGTACGTTCACAATAAAAACATCATGGCCACCTCTGGTGAATAAGGGTG